TACACCACGCCCGCCATCGACTGATAAGTTAACCAGATTTATCACCCACAGGTTGACGGGATCTACCCTTCTTCGCTACGCTACATTGCCATATTTTCATCCGTCGAAACTACGTTGTAATACTTTTTAGATCACTTTGAATCGTTCGCGCGCTACATTTATTTCGGCAAGGAATCGAAAAACAGACAACAACTCCCAATTGGTTCGGATACCCCCGGGTCTACTCAGGGCGTCTCCTGCTACAGAATACTGAGTGGGATGTGTTTTGAGACAAGTTTACATAGATTATATCAGGCTAAAGATTTTAGCACTTTGAACGTTAAATTTCGAGTTACGGTTTCAATCACATTGGTGAGCATTAAACGTTCTCATAGTGCCAATCACTGTAAGCGACGGTATAAGTCAACCGATTGAGAGTGACTGGAACGCTAAGCCCGCTATGGCGGAACTAAAGCAAAGAGTATTGTGTGCACTGCTTTCTTAAATTCAGATTGCTACCTAATAGTATAGTTAAAATTCTGAAACACATGGGAATAAGACATTTCCGGCACAACTTTGTTTCAATTATGTTCGCCATTAAACGTATATCCAACGAAATCTTCAATTGTTTGCTTTGACAGACGCGTGCTTTGCCATCAGAGGTGATGTGTCAGCTATTACTGCCATGCGGGCGGCTGCTGGGTCTTTATTATTTATATTTTCGTGAAAACCAACGGCGCAGGTTTCATTTCTCATTTGAACTCTGATTTTCTGAAAACTGGCTAACACGGTGGTTAAATGGAGGAAACAATTAGACTTAAGCTTCGAGAGAAACGTTCAGATAATCGTCTGCAAAGAACACGTCCAGACGTTAAACTTGAATTTTATGAACTTGAGTTCGAGTTCTCGGCAGCTGCTGGTTGAAAAAGCAATGTCCAGGATCGTCGAAGTAGTATATGGAAAAGGCATGGTCGGCTCTTCCGTTATTAAATCAGGACACTAAAATTTACAAAAGACAACAATATTTATTACGCAGCCACTTTGTGTCTATTATAGGGTTACAAAGGTTTATGGACAGTAAGCATCAACAGCATTTTTCGCCAAAAAAAAAAAAAAAAAAAAGACCAAAGGCAAGAAAAAAGAAGTCAATAGAAATTTCTACTGGATTTTTATTTAAAAGTCGCCGTAACAAATCAGCCTAAACATTTTCAAAACATAAAACTGAATATTCCCTATAGTATTTATCACAATCCAATGAATTTTAGTTTTACCCCTACTTCAAACTTAAACTCCATCTTAAAAATTCATGGTTACAGGAACAACGATCTGAAGAATTTGTTAGCAATTTCAGTTTTATTATAGACTTAATTGTTCATAAAATTTATTGAAACAGTTGTAGAGAAATAATAATTCGAATAGTAGTACCTCATCTACCAATAACTTCAAAAAGATAGGCCCTGACATTTGACATATCTTGCAATGACTACTCAAAATGCCACGTCTTGCCACTGGTGCTTCGTGTTGGGCAAGCCATAGCAATCCCAGCCCTCCATCTTTCTTGGCCAGGTAGAATATGTTTTAATTTAGAAAGCACACTGTCATACATGTTAGTATATTATGTTATATAGTTACTAACATGTATAACAGCATTGTTTCTGAATTCAAAGAATAAAAGTTTTAGATTTTATGATTAATTTTTTTTTTTTTTTTTACAATTTTATTGGTTTACTGGCAAAGTCATGAAGAAGATGGTGCCAAACCAGTGGAATAATTTCAAAGAAACCATAACTGGTGAATGAAAATTGGTGATTTTTTGGCACTCAAATTGTATGCAAACCTCTCATGTTATGAACAAGTAACGCTTTCACACATTAGATCACACTATACAAAATTTTTCCATAGACGGAGAAAAAATCGTAACTGTTGTGTACCTTTTGCAATTGTCCACTAAATATTAATCACATTCCCCAGGAATACCCTTGATACAATTCCATTAGACCTCAATTTTTTGATACAGAAAGTTTTATTCTATTCTATAACTGATGATAAATATCAAAGTAATGTAATAAAATTTTGTATCAAAATAGATCTTTTGGACAAATTTACCACATTTGAATAACATATTCTCTTACTTCAAAAAAGTTTCTTTATCATTTTACTTTCATAAGAAAAGATGTCCAATAATTTATTTTATGTACATGCCTGATGATGTCTGAAACCTACACACAAAACATGAATAGCTAGATTGTGAAATAGATTGTGAAAAATATAAGATTATTTGTGTTTTATTACTAATTTCATGAGATAATCATATCAATTCAAGATTTATATGTGGTTTAAATTTGTCATCCTTTTAAAATATCTCTGTATAGGAGTTCAGATTGGTTTGTTAAGGTGTTAAAGGAAATGACTTGAAATTTTAAAAAGAGGAAGTGACTCCTGACGTAATTGGATTCATAGACCTAACTGGGCTCAAAAAATGTATTGAAAAAAAAAAAAAAGATATCAAATTGAATAAACAATTGTGTCTATGTATGTGAAAGTTTCAGTTCATAACTGGATTTGTTTTTAAATTACAAAGAAAGTCCTTTGCTTAAGTTGGTACTAGTGAAATATATTTCATTTTTACGAACTGTTTATACCACATTTTCTCAAAACTGATATTTGCAAATTAGTTTCAATAATAATTTTTGAAGAAATGTGGATTTTCACACATGTTGATAAAAATAGCGCAAGCCTGTTTTTTGATAAAGTGTCTGAATTTCCAAAATTGCTGCTTTTTAAATTTTTAAATTTTTTTGCATGTTCCTATCTTCAAATAAATTGAGACTCCTCATTTATTCTACTATCTGGTTTCTCTATTTTTCTAAAATCATAATTTATTGTTCAGTTAGCATAGGAATTTCAATATTCTACTCTATACTTACAAAAATGGGTGTTGATACACATTTAACACTTTTTTCTTTAAACAATCTGTACATTGAATAACTTCAAGTACTAACCTTCTTTAAGTCATACGAGGTTAATACTCCTGTATTTCAACCTTTTGTGGCATTTGTTTCCCATTTCCCAGGCCCTCTGTGTACAAGATGTAGTGGGTTAAGAGATCTTATTGATGTTTTTGGAAATGAGGAAAAAAATGATTTGGCAAGTATAGTTTCATTCTCACTAAATTTTAATTTTTTTATGCTTTTTAATTTTTCAAACTTTAACTAATACAATCACAACTGAAATTCTGACTTGTATTTCTTGGCAATAGTTTGTGCAATTTTTTTCATATATCTATCGCAATGTAGCATTCTGCAGTTCACAAACACTCTTTTATTTCATGAAGAACTGTTTTTTGTCAGCAAACAGAATTAAATTGATTTGTTCTCTTGCCTCCTATTCTCCTTTTTACCAACTAACCAAAACTTGGAATTTAATTTCTGAATCATGAGGGAAAAAATTAATGCAACAACTTATCCCATACTCCATCATTGGTTTCTACTAAATGCATTTGATTTATTCCAATAGCAAAATTATGATAAAAATGTTTGAAGGTCAAAATTGTTTCTTGAAGTTTGTCAAGAGTATGTAACAATGAATGTATTTACAGCTGTCCATAGCAATGATGATCATTTTCAGAATTTTTGCGAACGCCTGTATTTGTCCGGGGTGAGCTCGGGAATACAGTTTTTACTGACGGGTGGAATTTTGTTGGACATAGCGCAATTCTTTTTCAATTATTTTCTTACATAAAGGTTTGTTTGCTTTTTTATGCAAATTTCAGTTTTGCTTTGATCTTAAATTTGTTCATGTGACCTTCAAAACATGAGAAACATTACTGTATAAATTATATGAGAATTTGTTAAAATTTCTTTTTTCCCCCTTTCCTATCTCTTAGAGTAAAATTTAAGGGTTCCGTCCTAGCATGGATAAAACTGATTGAGGACTAGGATGGATAAAACTGATAACTGGACAAAAAACTGATTGAGATGGAGTCACTGACCCAGGAGCTGTAGTACACTACTTGTTACAAGCGTATTAAAATTATGCAATACAAATGTAAACTAATGCGTTACATTGCAACCAATGCATTGCAATGCATCATTGTTAAAATAAATATTGTAGCTGCTTGACTGCCCGGAAGATAGCCATTCTGCAACCTTCCTCAGGGCAAAATGCCTGAGGAAGACATTTTGCCTTGAGAATGGTGACCAAAACATTGGCACCTGTACCTAGGACGCAGTGTCTCCATGGCAGCCGAGCAGCTACTGCCTCTGGCTGCAGTAGCCTAAGCTTTTAAAAAATATATTATATTTCCTTTTGGTAGTCTATGTATTTTATAATAGTAAAGAAATGTAGCAGAAATGATTTTATTTTGGACTTAAATTTGTGTATTAATTTTATTTATTATTAAACGTGGAGTTCTTGCAGAGCTGTTGATACTGACACCTATTGAAAGTTATTTCCACAATGTGTGTTGTAATTATAAATATCAGTATTGCACAAAAATTTGTTCCCACTGTTAAGTCAGTTTTGACAAAAACTCCAATTCGTAAAAAGTAATGTTTCTGAAAGGCACTAACTTTTCTAAATGCATTTTGTTATGCTCCAAAAGTGCAATTATACTTAGAATACTTGAAGAGTATTTACTGGAAGCTTGTCTAGAGTAAGCAACAATGCATAGAACTGGGCGGTTGGGATGTGGCAGTGACAGGGAGGGGCAAGGAAGGATAGGGCAGTTTTACATTACACATAATTCATTCATTTTCTTGCCCAATAGGTAGATGTTTATGATTAATAAATATTTGGGCAACACAGTAGTTGTACTGGACTACATAGTATTATTCAGCTAGTAAAAGTATAAAACATTAATCTAAAATCTTTCTCAACTACGAAAAAATTTATTTTCCCTGTAAATTAAAACATTCTTGACTTTTGGCATGCTGGTTGAATAAGAAATATAAATAGATTTTAATGCTCTGTCATCTTGTTTATTTAGGTAACATCTTTGAAAACAGGAGAAAATTAAATTTGATACAATATTGAGTTGCTGCAAGAGTATTTTATTGCAGATGAATAAAAAACAAAAACAAACAACCATTAATTGTAAGTAAAAACATACTTTCCATGGTGAGATTTGGTAAGCTGAGTTCTTGCAGCATAGCTGTAATATTGTCAAGACATATCTTACCTTCTTTTCTTTTAATATTCATATAAATTAATTTGTTAGTTTCTTTTTGATTCTATGTCAAAACTTTTGAAAATAAGAATTTTTGTTTGGTTATAGCATCTTATTAATATCGAAGAAAAAGAAAATATACGTCTTGCAGCGTACCAACTGAAAAGCAATTGTGAAGATTTGGCATCAAGTGATTTTTCCCATTCTAGATTCAATATTCTTCTAGTAGCACTAGTAAAATTCAGTTAGTGTAGTTATTGTTCATTATATAGGGTTGTCAAATAACTAGGACTCTTGATGATGATGATGAACTTTATTTACTTAAGTTTCCTTCACAGCGTACAAGACAATGAGAGCATACACCAGCTGGGATATCACAGGCATTTCTACCCCTCACAAACATAACCAAGAAACATCACATTTGCAACTGTGGATTCAAATATTAGGGGGTAAATGGCTTACAATACTTCTGACAAGACATTCCACTCTTGCACGCATGCATCATCCAATCCAGTCTTCACAATATGCAAACTGCAGCACCAAGGACAGAATGGAATTAAGAGATAGCTATTTACCTCATAACCACAAAAGTCTCAGCAAACCAGGTTTATTCTTAGACCCATGAAATTAATCATTTGTCATACAGTGAATATTAGAATGTATCTTGACTTCGATGTTTAATGTATAATAAAGCAATTAAGCTTCATGGAAATAAGACAGCAATACCTCATTACAGATAATTACATTTCATATTAATATTACAGGAAATTCACCTAACCTCATCACTCAATAAAAATTAAATTCAATTTGATTCCCAACTCATATAATCATACATCAGTTACTGTGAGATAAATGCCTATAAAAATGTAATAAAAAGGGAGTAATATTTCAGCTTTTCACAAATGAAATCTATGATTAGTTTTCCTTTGAGGTGGTATTCATTTATGTATTACGCATTTTAAATCTCTCGTTGTATTTTAATTATTGCACACTTCATCTCAAATTGTAGCAGAGATTCATTAAAGAGCAATGAGCTCTTAGAATTACTATTATAATCGAGTATTTTCTTTTTTGACAGAATGTAATCTATAAAACTATCAACAATGGAATAAAATATTTTTATAAAGACAAAATAAAAATTATTCAAGATTTTATCAGTCACATCACATTATTCTCTGATTGGAAGTTGTGTTTCTTAGATTCTAGATAAAAGGAATCGGTGGCTGCAGTTGCTAAATTTATAAAATGTCCAAGGCATATTATGCCTCTCAATTACTGCATAAATGAGTATTTGTACTAAACCCGTCCAGATTGACAATAGACGCATGAGCAATTTGTCAACATCACAATACAGAATTCATTTGCACTTCTTCGCAACTTCCACAAACCAGACATACAGTTCTTCCAAATCTCAAAATAAGCACATTAAAACTAAGATCCCTAGCATGCAACACAGCTCAGACAAGGTTTTCTAGCATCAAGCCTTGAATACTGTTCATGTTTGGGTAAAAAAAAAAAAAATTGCATTGGGAACAATTGCAGAAAGTAGCATTTCTCGGATAATGCAGTATTAATCTCACTGATAACATGACAGCAGAATGAACAATTAACTGTCCAATATTTGGCACAAGCTGCTAGATCTACCTTGCTGCAGCACATACACAGTTAATACCTTGCAACTATATACATAATTGGGATCATACAACACCAGTAACAAGATTTAAAATTGCATTGTAACTTCAGAAAGCAAACACACAGAGGTCACACTTAATTAAAATAGTAATAAGCAGTAATCTGCAGCTAAAATGAAACATCATAGATAAAATTTGGATATAGGCAACAAATTAGTGCCCTGTTTAGCTACTTGAGGTCTGTGCCATGGCACTACTTGAAACAACTACTAATGAGCTAAACTGGTTGAGCTGCCAGGTTTTTTACAACTAAGCTAACACATACATAATATCATGCACTTGCACTGCTAAGCAGTGGTAATGCACTAAATATATCACATAACTTAAATTTACAATTTCTACATCAAATGAATCCCAAAGCTAAGAGCATTTTTTGGTGCAATGGAATCAATGAGTACAATCTGTGCTATACATATGGCTAATATTTGCCACATTCTGTGCCAAACGCACGGTGCAGCTAGAAAAGAGGACCAACAGCTTTGGTACAGAAGCCCCCTACAGAGATAAAAGACAGTTTCAGGCTAGAATTGTGCTGTCAATGAGCAGTGCTAGCTAAAGATTCTTAAATTGTGATTCTTGAGTTGTTTTGACATGCAATTAGCTAAAATTTGCTTCTTGTAATAAATAAAAATATAATTAATGTGTCAATAAAACCATTACTGTTTTCCCTGTACAGGGAGGAAAGAGATTCATAATATTCGAGAACAATTAAAGAAATATTGGGGACCCTGTACTTTTTTAAAATTGTTTTTAAGCATGTCAAAGGCTTTGCCTATCAGTGGAATTGGAAAGAGCATTCACCTGCTTAGCAGGTGGGAGGGATACCAAATTTTCGTGGTGTGTCACCTGAACCACAGAGTATTACTCCTCTTTCTGAACGCAAAGATCCTTCTCGTGTGCTGTCAGTCTCTTCACAGATGGTGGACAATCCTGTTGTGGGTGGAAGCATCAGCATGCCAGTCCCTCCTTTTTTGTGGATGGCAGGAGGAGGAGCTGGTGGGGCTGAAGCAGGTGGACCTGGAGCTGGGCTCATTTCAGAAGGATATGGATATTCTCCAAAGCTTCCAGAGAGTGACGAAAAGTCACTAACGAAAGGGAGGCGTAGCACTGGATCCCCACTGGGCATGGAAGGAGGAAGATCCGATTCGCCTGGTGGCAGGAACATTCGCCGGTACTGATGGTATCCGCGAATAGAACTCACAGGATCAGACGAGCCATCCTAGTAAAAAAGTGAATTTCTTTGTTTATAGAATTGAAATTCTTTTAGAATCTAAATTCAAGGAATCTGAATTTATGTTGAAAATGCCCTAGTTAAAAATGGTTCAAGAATGGATTTAATTAAAATTGAGAATGAACGCCACAAAGAGACTCACCATACTATAGCGACTGGCCAGGGCCACTTCTGAAATGTGAGTATCCCCTTCAGTTGGATGAAGCATATACAAAACAGTCCACACCGGTAGCAAAAACTTGGCAATTACAAAGACTGAAAGAACCGTTGAATAAAACACCTGGGTGTGCCCAAACAAAGCACTGCAACCATCTTCTTCTGAACCAACTGCAAGAACAATGAATTTTGTTATTGACAATTTTCTAAAAGTGGTAACTACACATTCAAACTTCAAATATTTTCTCACAAGTTTTTGAAAACTTAAGATTTAATTGCAAAAAGGTTACTTACCAAACCGCATTACAGCATCAAACACAACAGTAAGGATGGCAGAAATATCGTAGACAATGACAACACTCCAAAGATCTCTCTTTTCTGAACTCTTAAAACAAGCAAGAGTTGAGATTCCTTCTATACGATGATGAATGTATATAGCAGATGCAATAAACACTTGCACAATAACAAAATCAGCTGATGACAGCATTAACCAATATGGACCTACAAAAATTATTGATACAAAGATTTTTACAAAGAAAAAATATACAAATATTTGCCAATAAATTGAGATGTTATATGATATTCTTGTTCATTTTAAGGAGACAACTTACGCATGCACTGTGTCCAGGAGTCTGTAACATCTACCATGCCCATCAGGGCTACTGTTGTACAATATAAAACATACAGACATAGCACAGGGTTCACCAAATGTTGCAGTAAATCATCTCTTCGCAAAGCTCGAGCAGCAAGAGACCAATGCAAATGGCAAACCAAAGCAAACTGCAACAACTTCAAGAAACTAGCAGCAAAATCCAGTTGAGCAAGTCGACTGCCAACCATAAAACTGGTGCCACTGTTCAGAAAAAATAAAACAACAACCTTGAAGTAGTTTGAAGACGTTTCACCAATAATTCACATTTAATATGGAAAACACTTACCACACAAGACATTCAAGGGCTGACACATAAAAGATGGCATAGTGGTGAATTTGTTGATGTCGATATACGTGATACTTTACGATCTTTAATATAACAAATATCAATGTTATGGCTGCTGCTGTTGTCAGTAAACTTGATCTCACACATGCAAGTGTATCGTATGGGTCAAAACAACCCTTGTTAGCAACATCAATGGTATCGTTCCCCAACTTTCTCCCTCTCGTTATCATGATGAAAACTCGTACTGTACACTTCGAGAGACTAGAAATGAATTGATTCTGAAGAGAAACAAATGGGTATGATCAACTACCCATCCTCAACACGTCCATTAGAGCATTCTGGCATGCCTTTTTTACGGGACAGATGTCCATAAAAAAAGTCCAAAGTGCAATAACATCTCACAGTACTAGGTTTTTACAACTTATATAGCGTTTCACAAAGCATACTTTGCCACCACACTGGAGTGCTTTCACGGGCAATAGTTTACATCATTTGAAGATTCAAAACAACAATAAAAGCACACATACACTGTAGCAGAACCTCCTTTGTATGAAACCTGTCAAACCCCGCAGGGCGCCATGACAGTTTGTGTTGCTACGTCACACACTGAACCACATTTTCATCAATAAATACATTCAAGTTATACACGTCTTAAGAATGTTGGCATACACGTGGTAATCAACAATTCTTTTCTTTAAATAACGATCATCGAAAAAGTTCGCGAGTTTCCACCACTTAATGTTTTCGATATTACCAATGCACAGTAGAGTCCTCTAGCGGATGAATTCTATACGTCCTATAGGTCCTATCCCCGCCCCTTTCATGCATGCCCAACCAGAGAGTATGTGCCCAACGCCCCAGCGTGTCCCTGGCGTCTCCCGTACGTGGTTGATGATGGGTCCCTCTTCAAAAGGAATTAAAATTTGAATCTAAATTATTATACTGAAAGAATCGCTAAAATAGTTCATTGGTATAAGTTAATATAAAAATGTTTAATAACTGAATATATAATTTAATGGAAAATGTTCTATCTTTTTTTTAGATTCTTTTTTTTAGATATGAACTCGTATTATTTTCTCGAAAAAAACAAACAAACAAACAAAAAAAAAATCAGTAATAGAATTTGTTCTTACGCTTTTTCTGCAAGTAATTTTGTTAAATTATTATACCATTGTATGCACTTATCTTCTTAGGGCGTAACATCTTTTACTTCTGTGCTTTACTTTCATTACTCTTTATTGATAAAATAATGGCTATTTTAGACATTTATTCTGTGATAATCTCTCCCTTAAATTACATTTTTTTACAATGAATAATATTATAAAAATAATATTCATGAGAGAAACAAAGCTAATGGAAAAATTGAGAGAGAGAGATAGGAAATACAAGAGGAAAGTATAACATTCTCTCAGACATCAAGATATCAAAAGCTACTTATTTTCATTATAGCAAATATAAGTGATATTTTACTTTATTTTAACTTTGATTTCAATTCAAAAATGAAAAGTACATAGTGCAAACGTATTTGAAGTGCGTTCAGTAAGCGTGAGTAATTTTTTCATTGTGGGTAATTCATTTCTGAAGCACATTACGCTATTGGAAAATACTAATTGACTCGTTCATTTAAAAATTCCCCATGTAATTTTCACTTCATACATTTTCAATGATATTTTGTTGTCTTATGTTCAATTGCATAACTGACAGTATTTGAGATATTTTGTGGTAGAATTTAAAGCATAGAGGAGAGAAATATGGACTTCTTAGTCAATTAAGATTAAATTTTAAATTGGTTGTCACAATATAATTATATTTAATTGTTGTTCAATCCCTTTTTTTAAATTTTGGGCTACCACAATAAACACCTCCAACTTTTACATAATAATTTTATTTATTTGTGAATTCATATGATGTTTTGGAGACTGTTCTGTCTTCCTCATCAGGTACAACTGAAAATTTAATTATAAAAATAATAAATGTTTTGTAATTTTTATGAACATCATTTTGGCTTCATTGAACTATTTTTATAATTAAATTTTTCAACAAACAACAGTAAATAAACAACACCCCCTCTCCTTGTAAATGCAAGAAGTGAAAATAAATTATAGTACAGTTAAAGTAATTTGTGTTCAATTTATTTTTGCTTGTACAAAAAATTTACGATAATTAAAGTTGTCATTAGTTGGCAATGCTGACTGTACCTAACAATAAGATTGGGAGTAAGCTACAGTGAAAAACGGATGCAGAGGTGACAAAATTTTTTATCATAAGCAGTGCACAAGACGTCGTGGATGAGTCGTAGGCAAGAGTCTAGTGCACCAATTTAAATTGGTTCTAGAAAATACTATGGTTTTGAATATTTTCTTCGTAATCTTAGAGATTCAATAAAAATTTTATCAAAAAATACATATATTTATTGCAACAATTTTCATTTAATTACTTTAATTTAGTTATGTTTAAAAAACTTTGTAAATATTTTAATATTTTTATACAAGAATAAAAAAAAGAATTATTTCAGCAAATGTTGAAAAATTTACAATAAATCTCAATCTTACATAACAATAAACTAATACTCTCTTCCCCTTCATAATGCAGCATAACGCTGCCTCAGACCCCCTTCCCACTCTTTAGCATTACATCATTTTTGGATGTCCTCTTAGTTCCAAAATCAGTTATAATAGGTTATAATAACTAATCTGAACATCTGAGAAATACTAACATTGCCATTGAAACATATTTCTCTGAATAAGATATGGAAGAAAATATTGGTGCTTTAGGTGAAGTCTGACTTTTTGTCGTCTTGAAAGGAAAATTTAACAAAATCATATACAACTCATCCCAACAATCTTCCTCTCAAAATCAGGTAGCTTTCTAAAATATGATTCACAGATAGCATTGGGGAGTAATTGTGTAAAAGTATTTAAATTACTTGTAACGATTACTTTGTTAGTAATTTTAGCATGTAATTGTTACTTTTAGCGGAATGTATTTTTTTCTTGTAATTTACTCATTGATATAAAATTGTAATTATTGCTTGGCATGTAATTATAAATATTTTTTTTAAATGTGCCTATTTAGTTCTTTTTGCTCACAAACCCCCTCACTCATCACAAACTAACATGTGGGTAAGTTCATTTAGTTCACAAACTAAGTTGATTGAGAGGCCCCCATCCATAATATAGGAGAATTTCCATGGCTCCATCCCAACGAGCCGAACAAAGACTGGTTCATAAAGCACTGAAGGCTTTCATGGCCAGAGTTAATATTATTCATGCCTTCCAAGCTGGTGGACCATGGTCCAATTGGCTTCGAAATGCAAAACGTTTCACCCACGACTGCGGTGGGCATCCTCAGTGGTGAGGTCTCAGGCGAAGTGTCCGAGACACTTCGCAACACCAGGCTCATTCTACATAAATATTTGAAATTTAAGAAACAGATTTTAACACTAACTAAAAACATCTACATTAACAAATTATTTAATAAATCCAACCATTTTATTGTAAAATGATAAATTCCTTTTTTTTTTACCTTTTTGAAGTAGACTATTCATACATGGATGGTTTTCATATACTATTAACATCGATCCAGATGGTCAATATTGCTAAGGCAGAAGTGTCGTGGCAATCTTCGGTCAAAACATCACTGGTTCGAATCCTGCCTTGGGCAAAGATGTATTTGTGATCGTCCGTTCACTCTTCATCATCATCCTAACACTTCATTCAAGAAGCAATTTCCTTATCTCCAGCATAACATGTTTTAATGTTATGCTTGCTCATCTATATTTATTTAACATTGTTTTAATACTATCAATAATTATTACTGTGTATTTAATGGTATTTATTAATTTTTTTTGATTTCACTATGCACTTCATTTCAGGCTAATAGTCAGTATTATTAATTTCTTTATGTTTATGTTAATTTATTTTTTCTTATTTTATTTAAACCATATTTTAATACATTAATTTGGAATTAGAAAATTTGTTCACAATTTTAGTGGTTGAAGTTGGCCATAATACAGAAAAAGAACAGGTTTAATCTTTTATAATATATCTTTTATATTATAATCTCTTATATTATATCTTTTACATCAGATATCACATCACACCCTACAGTCATATTGGGTAGGCAAGATCTGGCCCAGAAGGGTTTAACTTCCTCTCTCTCTACCTCAATTATTTTGGTCACTAGATTACTTACAAAATTAAATAGGTAACAGTACAGGCTGGATTTTGATGATCTAAAACATTCTCAAAAATGATCAATAAAATCTTCAAAATGTTTTAAAATGCCCTACAACCAAAGAAAAATGACCTAAAAATGTGATCAAAAGCAGTTTGAAAAACAACTCAAGCTGTTGGATACGTTACTGATGCAATCAAGTCTTCTTCCATTCATACAAGTGAATGCATCTTGCAAACTTTTCATTTGGACTGTTCTTTCCCAGAAAATCTGTCTTTAGTTATTCCAAAATAAGATGAACCGACAATGTATTACAGGAACCTTAGATTACATACTCACAATGGCAGTCATCACAATTTATGAGTGAAGAACTAGAATAGTCTAATGAGAAATTCTGCGGAGAAAATTTGTTGGATCTCATAAATATAGTTAGAAGTTACCATTAAAATGGATTAAACCATCAAACATTGCATTAAAAATGATGGGAAAAACTAAAAAACAACTTATTAGTTGAAATCGACAAAAAATGTTGAAGAAAATGACTTATAAAAATGGGTCATTTCCTTTAGTCACAAAATAAAATTAATTTCTATATTTAGTTTAGAAACAGCATTGTTCTAAAAATTATTCTTTCAAAACAGCATTGTTCTAAAGTGAAAAAAATGTATTTAATTTAAAAACACCCCTTGTAATTAGTGTTTCCTAATTCTAATTTTTGAATATTGAATGTGAAATGGTTAAATTCATAAAAGTATATATTCATAGTATCCAAAGGAAAGGATTCAATATAAAGTATACAAAAGGAAAAATACATTTCTTTAAAAAATGTTCATCTTATGGGAAAGGTTTTCTACCTGCCTTCATAATGTATACAATAAACAATGTATTTATCTTATTTTTTCACTTAAGACAAACATACAGATGTGCAGCTTAAAACAAGAGAGAGGCAACTGTATTTTTGAGTTCCTCTGAGCTCCCTTTTCTGTTAAACTTTTTTATTTACATATTTATAACATAAATGATACAATTAATAAATACAATTCATTTTGTGTTAAACCATTTACATTGTTGCACGATCCTAGTCTCTTCCCCAAATGTCATGTATCAATTTCTCAAATCATTAGCTTAAAATCATGAATTTATCACATTTATGCAAACAAACGTTTTATTTGGAGAAGGAGACGAAAAGTTCAGGTATTGCTACATGCAAACACGCGCGTTGCTAAAGTAGATTGAGTGAAGGTAGTACAGTACTTAGGACTTTGGAGAAGCTGGCGGAGCGTTCATTGAAAGTTACACACTAACGTGCATGCTGCTATACTGCAATTTTTCCAACTGTGCCCCTGGCAGGTTTCAGTTGTTGACAATTTCATCCAATTGGAAGCTTGAACGTTACCATGGTGACGTTCAAGCTCTCAATGTACATATTATGGGCGTGAGAGATGTTTCAAAAAATTACATTAATGTAATTTTTGAAAAAACAAAAAAAAACAACAAAAAATTCCGAAATTAAATTTTCGTCATATTAAATAGTGTAATTAGCACTATCCGTTTGAAAACCGTTTGAAAGCCGATTTGAGCAAATGACGTTTGGGCGATTCTGAAAATATACGGATTTTTAAGTAGTTTTCATAGAAAAGTGGAGGTTTAAGAAACTTTATATGACATTATTTAAGGCATATGTACTCAA